TTGAAGCTGTCAGATCAGAGGCATCCAACAGCCTGAAGTAATCCGTGTGGAATTCGTGAGAAGGTTTCCCCTTTGTCTTGGTACAGTCCTTCTCCACGTTGGTGCAGAAGTGAAGGTTGAAAACACGGGCAGCTTCCTTTCCGGGCCCCTCAGCGGCCCACCAGTGAAGGTGAGCATCGCTGACAGCTAGCAGCTTTGCTACCGTCCACATTCCCTCTTTTTTGCGGGCTTCTGTTGAGACAATCCTCCAAAGGCCCTTTCCTTGTTCCTCGTGTGAGTTGTCGTACAGGTTGGTCTCCACGTACGTGCCTTTGTCCAGCGTGAAGGTGTCATAGAACTCTGGATTGTCTCCTAAATGTACCCAGAGCCCAGGCATCCTCAACAGGAGGTTTGATCCAGCCCGCAGGCCACCTCCTTCAGCAGTCTGACCCGCAGGTCGTCTTCCTTCAATCAAGCCCGCAGGCTGCCCAGACAAACCCTCAGGTCACCCCGGCAGCCTGCCCTTTGAACTAAAGCCTAAAAGCTGCGGTGAGTGCAAACTTTCGTCCCCCACTTTCAGTTGGAGTACTGGCAGTAATATATATAATTATATATGAGGGTGATGGTGATGGTGATGATGATGATGATGATCATCATCATCATCATCTCCTTCTTCTTCATCTTCATCTTCATCTTCATCACGATCACCATCATCATAATCACCCACCACCTGCACGTACACATGCCTCTGCGTGTGCACAAACAGTGATCATCGCATTAAATACTGTGTTTCTCATGAGGGCGGTTTGTCGTGATGTTGATTCCTTTTGACCTAGGATGCTTTCCTCGCAAATTCATCCACTTTGACTCAAATGTTTCCGTGTAGTCGCATGAACAAATGGAATGGTCCATGGTCCATATATCATATAATCTCATTTTGAAGTGGGTTCCTAGGGGGGGGAACTGGGTAGGAAAGATGTGCTGCAAGGCTCCAGGCGGAAAGTATGCAAAATCAATTTCGACAAGTCGAAACTCGAAAAGTGAAAAGGTGTCTTTGTGAATTTCGAAAAGTCGAAAAGTCGAAAAGTCATCTCCGTTGGAATTAGACGGGTGACGTTGGGTCCCCAATTTGTAGACTACAATCCTGCGGCCTTAGGGTGACTTTACTACATGTTAGGGTGCCCATGGTTTTTTTATTTACTACATAAAAAATCCTGAAAACTCAACATAAAATCCTGGGACAGTTTGTAGTGACTTTACATGTACATGATCCAGCATCTAACATAATCCACCATTTCTTTCCGATGGCAACTTGTAGCGATATGGTTTGCTCATTCGCTCTTGGTCGAAGGAGCCCTGCTCCTACTATTTTGTAGCCCCTAAAAAGTTGCCAGTAAGAAAAGCAGCAAAAGGTAGTGCATATTGTGACCATGATGCATCCTTCCTTCCAAGAATGCACATGGATCAATCTCCACGCAATCTCACGGGTCAATCTCCCAGGCGCATTTTTGAGGGGTGGAACACCTTTTGGTCTCAATCCCCTCCAGGCACCAACTCGAGTAGGGAAAAAAAAACAAACAACAGGCAACAAAAGAACCCTAAGAAAAAGAAAAGCATTTCACGGATGAAAGCTATATCAAAATATGTACCTGCACTAAGAATAATGCAGCAAGATAAAACGGCTGCAAACCCTCCCAAAACAAACCAACATGAAGAGGACTGCTACAAAGTGGATGGGTACAAGTCGAATCACTACTGTGCACAAGTTTTTGTTGACAACCAACGCTGATAACTGCTTCAAGTTACTGAGTAAATTTCCCGATTGTACGCTGCAGGTGTTGACCCTTTTTGTAGCACAATATCCACCCCGATGCTATTGCATTGTGCGCTGCATTGATTTTGTTCAATTCCGAGTGAAACAACGGGTTCACTACAAATTGGTCACGAAAACATACGAAGTCTCATGTTGCTTCATGTGATAGAACCATGAAAGCCACTACAAGTTGCTATTGTATTTTTCAGTGTTTTTTCAGTAAAAAGTAAAAAAAATCACTCGTCAAAAATCGATCAAAAATCCTTACTACAAACTGCTATCTCGATTTTTTTTTTGGATCTCACTGCCTTACAAAACTCGACTGCTACGATTTGCTTCTGCACAACGTCACAGGGGACTATAAAATCATAGGGTTTAGAGGGTTTATAGTGGGCCCCAAGGCCTAGCATTCTGTAGTGGAAATTCTGACCAGGATGAAAAGTCTACTTTTTGACTTTTCACTTTTTAACTGTTTGAATTTCTGCCGGATGCCTTTCCAGCTGAACATGTGCAACTAAAAGTACAAAACTTAAACCGTTGAGAGTCGAGAGGGAAGAAGAAAAGCCGAAAACCCGAAAAGTCGAAAAGGTGAGAGGGAAGAAGAAAAGTCAAAAAGTCAAAAGTCGAAAAGTATCGAAAAGTATACTTTTTGACTTTTCACTTTTTGACTTATTGAATTTTTGCCGGATGCCTTTCCAGCCGAACATGCGCAGCTCTTTTTTGCAGCTTAGGGTTCACCTGGTGGTATTTCAAGGTTTTTCCTACAGTGATTCGTCCAAAGCACAAGTAACCTGGTCGATTGAGGACTATCGTTGAACTTCATTCCATCTTCCATATGGAAAATTAACAAATAAGCCACCAACCAAGTTCTTGATAAAAGTCAAGACTCTGTTTTGCAGTTCCAGCATGGAGGTCAATGAAGCCTCGGCTGATAACAAAGAAGTCAAGGAGAACCACGGGTTTTCTGATTGGTGGTTTCAACCCAATGGTTTATATAGATATTTGGTGTCTCAGCATGGGGATGGGTCAAATTTGGTGTACTATTTATGACCTTTAAAGACCCTCAAATTTGGTCATGGTCGGTAATGACATGACCCATAAACGACCAGAAGGTACAAAAAGGTAATATTAACTAGCAAGGGCCTCAAGAGCAGTCCAGGAATCCAAACCAGCTGAATCAACGAAGAGTAACATGGAAGCAGCAAACATTGGTTTTAACATGTTTTAAAATATTTCAACGATGATTTTTCAACGCTCGTTTAAATGAAAACAACCAGTCTTTCTCCAAAAACAACCTTTGGCCCAAGGCACGGATAAAGGAGGCGGTGCCGGGTGGATATGCGCCACTGGTCTCGATGAGAGTGTCATCATCAACAAGCTCCTCTCCAGGTTGTCCCTGCTGAGGGACGCGGCTGCTTCACTTCAACATCGCTTGAGCTAATCTAGGCTAATGTCAATGGATTGGTTTAAGGGAAAATTTACAGGCAATCCCCATATTTAATCATATTTAATGGGAAAATCATTGATTTTCTGTAGATTTTCCCTTAAACTCAATGATAATGTAGAAAAACGGCAACTGTTGCAGGTCATGAAGTTCCAATTCTCAATACCGCTTGGCTTAGATTCTTAGAGGCATCTGGCCAGCTTGAAGACCCAATCAACTCAATAATGGCACACTGTTCAGTTCATAAGAAGAGATGCCTCTATTTAGCAACCTCCGAAAAATATAGCACAGTAACATCCTACTAATGGCGGTTGCTATCAAATCTATCAAGCTAATCCATTCTTTTTGGGCTAAGATATACGTCCCATGGTCCCCACGGTCCGCAGCCCAAAACGTTTCGCTCCAGGCCCTGTGTGAAGGGTGCGCCCTCATGGATCAGGCTGCGCAATTTCTTGGCGCGGAACTGCTGGGGTTCCTGGCATCAAAGGAGGCCACAATGGAAAACTATGGAAAATCACCAGTTTTAGTTGATTTATATAATTTGATTTACCTAAAGATGGTGATTTTATTCCATTATATAAATTTATATAATGGGTTTCCTCAACTTTCTATGGGCCATTTTCAATAGCTATGTTAGTTTTTACCAGAGGGTATGCTATTTCTGAACCAATTCAGGGAAATAAACTGGAATCCAAAACTGGAAACGGTTTGGGTTATTCAGATATTTGGGATAATTGTTAAATGTTTTTTCGTGAGAGTTCATGCTGCCCAAGTATCACCCTCTCGTGGCATTGCCGCAAATGGTACCAGTACCCATTTAGTTCGATGATTCTCCCACTAGAAACCTCCATTGATAGATGATTTCCCGGCTGGCCCGGCTGATGATGCTGGCAATTGCTGGCATAAAACAAGTGGCACTGCCTGCTGCCAAGCTACGCTTGCTGCAGCGGCCCAAAGGGCCGCAATTGATATGAAACTCTGCTTCATTCTCGTATGCACGTGCGCATTGCGCAGGTATAGGAAACAATAGCGAAGGAGGTCAGCCAAAATGGCTTCAGGAAAGGCACCCTGATGGCAGGAACAGATGGAATCCCTGCAGTTGCAAAGCTGCCAAGGACGCTTTGCCCTAAGCCTGTCAAAATATCTCCAGATCTTCAGAGATTGCACTGCAGGTTTTCTATTTTTTTTCAAAGCGAGTCAGCCCAACAGCGACTGCGATCCTCGCACAAGCAGACTTGCAAAATCAAACCCTGTGCTGTTATCAATGGCTAATCATTGAATACCGATAACATACACGATATATTCTTATTATGGAAAGTAAACATGAAATAGCCTTCGCCAGTCGGCGTGCCCAGAATCCCACAAGTATACATTAATTACATGAAATTACATGAAATTACCCCGTGTTTGCTATGAAGTTCCGATGATTGCTTGTTTAATCCCCACTAGCCTTCCATTCATCGAAAAGAACCTACTTTACAGCCCTAGCTTACAGCAAGTTCCATGAAATCGGTGAAAGCGAAACTTTGCAAGTACACTGGGCTACACCCATAGCGGCCCATGGCGGCTGGAGTTTGGTGAAACCTTTGCCTACTGGGCCTACTGCGTATCATCAACTATCAAGCCTGTGCTTCAGGACAACTTTACCCATATGACCCATATGCCAAATCTGATCCCATTGTGTCACAATAATTGTATTGGCATGCGGTCAACTTGTTTAGAAGAGCATGTACCTACTGCATCCTACTGCTATGATTTATCCTTGTCGGGGTCTCTTTCCCACCTGGTTCTTACAAGGTGATTGCGGAGACAAATGCGCTCAACTTAACTCAGACATGCAGCGCCGAATATTTTCCTTGTGCCAAATTTGGTACGGTATAGGAGAGAGAGAGAGAGAGCGAACCAGGGAGGGAGAGAGAGAGAGTGGGATTGGACCTTTTCAACGAAAACTCTTCTGGTTCCAACTTCTTTGGTATCTTTATTGAGTGTCTCATGTATCCTAGGAGCACAACACAGCCATAGACAGGCCGTGGCAGGTGGTTCAAAACATCTGCGTCTCCAAGGGCTCGGAACTTAGCTCTTGGGCTCAAGGATGGAGTCAAAAACCTCCGTGGTGACCTGAAAAAACAGCCTTAGCTGAGCTGAAGGGCCAAAAGATTGGAAAACACAAATGGCAGGATGGGCCAGCGTGCTTGGCACGTTGTGTGGCTGTTGTTTTGTTGCTTAATGTCCCTGTTAATGCTGTATTTCATCGCGGTCAAGTGGTGAACTGGCTATGTTGGAAGCAAGGAGCTGGCTCACACGCTCCGCCTTCTTCACATAGGCCTGCATACGCCTTAAAGTGGAAACAGCACACGAAATCGCAGATTTGGAGCCCTGCCACTCGGCGGAAGAATAGTGAAAAGCGATGGGCTCAGGGCTCATAACCTCTGAGTTTCTATGCAGGCTTCCTAACATGGAAGGTACCCCAAATCATCCAATATTAGACCATTTTAGTATTGAAACCACTGCTTTTGGCGATCCCCCTAATTTAAGAAACCCCCGCACACACACACACTGATGATAGAGTAAGTAAGTTACTCTGAGAAGGAACTTTGTAACGATGAGGTTGTCATCGCCTTGAGGGTGCCTAAGTCAGATCCTGTCAAACAAGCGCATATTGTTTCGAATTTTGAACCTAACCTATTCAACTATGGTGAATTGTTCCGGTTCTAGGCTTAGCCGGTCGCCATCATGAACTTGACTAGCAGGTACATGACTCCAGCGTCCCAGAGTCGTATCAGTCACGCAGACCTCTTCGTTGGGCAATCAGCTGCAAACACGAGATTGCCCCCCGGCTTGTTGACTGCACGAGTTTGAAAATTCTTACCCGCATGACACCCATCGGGATTCACACATGCAAAAGCCCCGAAAGGCAAGCTTGCACCTTTTTATCACCTCAAGTTACACCGACTAGATAGATATATATATATATAGATAGATATAGATATTATAATGATCTATATGCTTGGAATAAGCACTTACAGTAACTGTACAACAAGGTCCCCACGCGACAAGAAAGTATAATAGCATTCATATAGCGACATCAAAGTAGGTAGCGGTCTTCCGGGCGGAGTTTGGATACCAATGCAACGATGTTCCACTTTGTATAACCCAATGCTTCCAAAGGATGCATATAGTTTACTAAGTCCGTTATCACAAAGGACAGGTTTGACTAACAGGCTACAATTTACCCAAATTACAGGAAATGATGGAAAACATCGAGAGCCATCTTTTCACGGGCTTTTCACTGATATTTCATGGGCTTTTCACGGCCTTTTCACATTCATCATAATAAGTTGTAATTTCATCAAAATTGCCCAGCTTCGCAAAGGCTAGGTTAAACCTAGGCGTTGTGACTGGGTGAGTTTTTGGTGTCCTTTGAAGTCATGGGTAATGCAAGTTTTTTCCAATTGGTTTGCAACAATCTTGCCCAACGCTGTACACACACACACAAGCGGGGGGAGGGGAGGAGGGAGGGAACAAGGACAGCCAGCCACAACCAACAACGGGGAAACAAAAGGACAAAACAACAAAGGCAGAAACAGGCAAGGGAGCACACAACACGCAGGCAGAACAAAGGAAGGAAAACGGGGTGGCATGCAGAAGAGCAATCGGCGCAAAGCAAAACAGGCAACAAAGCAAAACCACAGCAGCGAGAAAACTGAAGCAGGACGGCACAGGGGAGGAACGAACACACTTCCAAGGTCTGGGCAGGGGGAGAGGGGTTTGCAGCAGGTCACTATTTGTCAAAACCCAAAAAGCCAGGTGACTCTCGAGTCCGACAGCTATTGATCTGCAGGTGGTTCTGGAAGAAATATATACCTGATGAAACTGGACAGAAAACATGCGTCAAGGACATGAATGTAGAACATTATGATTATAACAGTCATGAACATTGTAGAACCATCCTCAGCTTGACTATATCTGATATATGTTACGAGAACAAACTGAACCGAATAATGGCTGTTTATTGTAGAGATATCGTAGAGTTTGTGTTTTGTGTTTTTGGGGTTATTGAGCCAATGACAACATCGCATCGCAAGTTATCAGAAGTCAGCAATTTATTCCAGCTCACTCTGATTTTGATGGAAGCTCCAAGTGGGGCACAATGCAACAAACAGCAAAAAGTGTAAGAACAAATAATAAGAACTATGAACTTGTCAGTAGAAATTTGATGCGAAAACCTTCAATCTCGAAGATATCTTCGATTGGAACTCCTCCTCTCCTTTGCTAATTCAACCAATCTATCCATATCCATCCCATGTCACGTCAGTTCATTTTTCCAATCTCTTTCCGTTCTACTTCCAATGGAGAACGGAAGATCAAAACTGGAGGTTCCAGGTGCATTTCCCAGCCGCGCAGCCGGCGTTATCCGGCGTTAAGGCCCAGGTGCATTCTTCCCGAAGTGTTGCCAAACACAGACCCTCCTGGTCACAAAGCACCCAGCCTTTGAGGCGCTGATAGACCTGGCTCGAACCCCGGGTTGCGATTGAATTTCTGTAAAATTATGAAAATCTCTGGTTCCTATGAAAAATTTATGTCTGTCAGTGTTCACCCATATTCCCAAAATATATCAAAATATGAGATTTTCCCAAATATGGATCCACTCTATCATGTGGCTGGGAAACTTGATTTGCAGCTCCAACTGGCCCCCATGCAAAACAGCGAACATTAGGATACAACCATTGCTCCAAACCCCTCCTAAGCACTGAGTCCTTAAATTGAGATGACGTTCCCTGACGCGGAGACGCCGAGCCTCCTTTTTGGCTGAAGTGTTCTCTTTGGCATCCTCTTCTGCCACGATTGGGTACGCCTTAAAGTCCTGCCGAAAAGAGCTTGCATCTTCCACAAGAACATCATGGAATCATCCTCAAGTAATAGAAATTGGCAGTTTCATTCCATAGTCGGACAGAGAGGGTCATGATATGTCATGATCAATTTAATGGGACTTTGTGCCAGGATTTTGTCCACTTCATGTGACATCCCGCCTGAATGGGCGATGCAAAAATGAAGTGAAATTTCAGGGGCGGTTGTAGCCAGGCCTGCGGCCACGGTGGGATCAGTTGATGGTCAATGTTCAACCCCCTTTTGAAGAGTTTGCGAACATGGTCAATCCTAGGTACTGTTTAGTTTTAGTGTTCTTTTCATGGCATAGTACTACTTCGATGCATCCTTCCTAGCAGACAAGATTCACCGATTCCCACCAAAACCCGAAGTTTCCCTTGGGAGACAGGTCACATCCAACTCCGCCTGCAGCAGTCGAGCATAGAGCTGTTCCCTTGGCAACGGCGACGCCGGGATGCCTTGGTTTTGCAGCCGCTTGGGGAGCCTTCCTCTGTAGGTTTGCTTTCAGTCCCTAGGATATATCTTTTTATATAAGCATTAAAAAACAACAGGTCGCAAAGGATCATCACTCGACATCCATGGAGGTTTTCTGATGGACGTGAAGGTGAGTTGCTGGTTCTGCACTCATAAAGAATCATAAGGTCCACCATCCAGCCGCCATCCCGTTGAGTGCTGGGTTCACCCCATGGAACCGGTCTGGTATGGTCTGGTAATCTCTAGCAATGAAAAACAGCATGTCCAATTTGTCCAATGCAACAATCATTTACACTGGCCCAAGGGGGGTAAACGAAAGCTAAGGTTAAGATGAGCCTGGAAACTGATGGGATTGTGATGGGATTTTACTATATGCGGAACAGAGATTGTCTAGAGATTTGGCAGGATTTGAGCCCGTGACCATCTGCTTCCAACACCGCTTCAAAATGCCCCGGGAGCTTTGGGGGGTTCGAGTGAAAAGTCACTGTGTTGGACTCAAACCTGCCACTCCCCTTGCTGAAGCAAGAGTAACTCCAGCTAGCTACTGAGTTACTGTACTGCTAGCTTTCGTGACATGGGTGTAGATTTGGGATTGTTCCATTGATGTTTTGTTGACGCGTTAGACTTCTGGAGTGTATAGAACCGCAAAAAACAAATAATTTCCCGTCCAGTCCAGTAAATCAACACAAATATCGAACACCCATCATTTCTAGACATGTTCCCTGGAAACTCATGTTTGTTTCCGAAATGTCCTTTTGTATGTTTGCCCCAGGGTATATCCCAGTAAATCGCATCATATCGGTTTTGTTTCCCCACAAGTTTGTATCCCATTGCAGTAATTACGCATTGCAGTGCTTTACTTACGCCCATTTGACCCCCAGGTAATTTAACATAGCTATTGAAAATGGCCATTTATAGTGAGTTTTCCCATTAAAAATGGTGATTTTCCATAGTTACGTTAGTTTACCAGAGGGTAAATGCATAGAAATTCTTGGTTCTACACCAATAATTGCATTGGTTGCTTCAACATCCCAAGAAAACATCAAAGTCACTTGGGATCATCATCCAAGAATGATGATTTTGTTCATTCAAAACATGATGGACACCAGCCGACTGTTGGTTCTACAGCCAAATATTCCCACGATGGTTACATTGGTTACATCATCCATTTTACACCATGTACCCTCCAGTAATCTGTGGATGGTTGCGATATCCTGTACCACCTTGGCTGGTTGAAACATGTTTTTTAACCCGTCGTAAATAATGGGATAACCCTCTGGTAAACTAACGCAACTATGGGAAGATCCACCAGTTTCAATGGGAAAATCCACTATTTCTATGGTCATGTTCAATAGCTATGTTAAATTACCAGAGGGTAAACCATCTATCAATTGACTGGAGGGTCAAACGACTCCGGGTGGCTGATCCTCTTGCGCGGGTAGAAGGGCAAGCGATCAAAGTTGGTCTCCTGATGCGATGCGAGACATGGGGAGAAGTTGACCAACCAAAATATAACCTTAAGGGATATAAATGGGATATAAGTGCAGATACTGGATATAAAACCTCCCATTGGGATATATAATTGGATCTAAAAACTAAATCGCAATATTTCCTGGGGATGGGGATACACACGCAGAACAAACACAGTGAGTTTAGGAGGATGACGGTTCCAGGACAACGGAATATAGAATCAGCAATAGATTAGGAATCTTGACCAGCAAACTTATGTATATATATACACATTAAGACACTGACACTGAACAACAATTTATATAGCAATCGATGTCGGTCGTTGATGTGTAACGTTGAACCCATGAAGAAAATGTCGATCAAATTGGGATCAACATGGATCAACCATCCCCTAACCTTTCAAGCTGCGACTGACGATGGACTGACGACCCCAAAAATGAATCCACTAGCTGCTATGGGTCCCAAATTCCTTTTCAATTCCACTAAAAAAACTCGCTGTCAGCAAGTAGCCACAGCAGCACCAAACACGTGCAATGTCATGAAGGTGTCCACGCAGCGGTCACATTTTACAAGCGCGTTACTATATACAATGAAAGTGATACTTCGCCCAGCCATGCACAAGCGAGTTGGCCAAGCTATACCTTCAAAGCACCCAGCACAGCGAAAAATGCCATGCCAGAGTCACGACGAACTCACCTTAAAATCCAAAGAGGCCCTACCTTAACCGACGTCAGGATGTCATCCTGACCCGGGCCTGTCTGGTGAATCAGCATTTCCCCCATGAACAATCAATAACAATGATATACTTCGTATTTTTGGATATATTTTTGAGGCGAAATCCGTCATTTTATTATATTTTAATTCATGTTCATGACCCAAATCATGCCTGACATCCCGCTGGATCACGGTGGTGGATTGATGCTGTAGTCACATGTCACGTCCCCCATCTCCCGCAGCAGCTTCTCTAAGCCCTTCGATGGATCCATTGGCTCAGCACCTTCGATGGAGGACATGTCGAAGCTGCGATCCTTTGCCAGGTCGCAGGCCTGGGATGGAATGAAGCTGAGGCCGAACCTGAGGCCCCTATGGTTATGGGTAGTTTTTAATGGGTAATATATGGGATACATATGGGATATATATGGGTAATTGATGGTAATTGATGGTAATTACTTATGATAATTGTGCCTACGGGCGGACAACCGAACGTGTAGTTGTCACTATTTTAAATTGTCTAACATCTTGGGGTGGGGTGGGGTGGGGTGGGGTATTAACGTCCTTTGTAGTAAGAACTTTCAACTACGTTATTGACTTCTCTAACATCTTGCACGGGGCGGGGTGGGGTGGGGTGGGGTATTAACGTCCTGCATGGTAAGAACTTTCAACTACGTTGTTGACTTGTCTAACATCTTGCACAGGGTGGGGTGGGGTGGGGTATTAACTTGGTATTAACGTCCTTTGTAGTAAGATCTTTCAACTACGTTATTTACTTCCAACTACTAGCATCCAACTACGTTGTTATCTTCTCTATCAACTTCCAACTACGTTAGCATCCCTTGCAAGACATCTTCCAAGTACGCTGTTATCTTCTCTATCAACTTCCAAGTACTTTAGCATCCCTTGTAAGACATCTTCCAAGTACGCTGTCATCTTCTCTATCAACTCCCAAGTACTTTAGCATCCCTTGTAAGACATCTTCCAAGTACGTTGGTACGAGTATCTTCTCTATCAACTTCCAACTACGTTTCAGATGTCTCTGACTGGCAAAACCTTTGCGCTGATGTGACCAAACCTTGGCGCAGAAAAAAAGACCGCTTTCATGTGCCTAAACTATGGCCCCACTGTCACTTTGTGAAATGAATCACCAAAACTTTTCTGGGGGTGAAATGTCCATATTTGATGGCCAGTGCACAGAAAAACAATAAAACCAATGGAATTGAGACGCAAACTTGACAAAAAGACATGAAATACATTGCAAAACGCCGAACACAGGATCCACAAACATCAAAAGGGCAGCGCCGCCACGTTCAACTACCCACCCAGCGGGATAATTGTTCTCGATGATCTATGTTAATATATGGTTGACGTATGGTTGCTCATGACATTCCTAATTACATCACTTTCCTCCATTTTTAAAACTGTTCAATATTGAAATTCAGTTCCGTGTTGTTGGGTTACCACCCCCTGAATGCTGCCCCCCAGCTATACGTAGCTTTATATAGCCTGCAGGTATATCAACACATATCCACCATGAATATTCATCAAACACAAAATTATGTAATTCATAAATTGTTGAACTGTTTATATGTTATAAATACCAACTTATCCTCAAGTTCTCTATCGCTGGTTCACATTTTTTAATATGTTTTAAACATATTTAAAAGTTTAAACATAGAATATTCATGAATCTTCATGAATCTTCTAGACCTATCACTCTATATTTATCAATGTTATCCATCCTTGGTGGTTCCGTTGCGGATCCAAGATACCAAGGCTTGCACACAGGCCTTCGCTATGTCTGCCCGTGGGATCCGCAAATTCTTCACCTCGCGTAGCTTGTCGTCCACGCCCAGCTTCACCGGCGCCTTGCCACCGGGAAGGTCACTCAAACCACCGGCGTGGATGATGGTGTACTTCATCTTGCTCTTTTTGCCTGGACTGGATATGACTGGATGAAGATATAACATGATATAACCCATAGGATCCATGGTGCTGCTATATATGGTAACATGGATCCCATCAATATACCCCCTTTATGTTAGCATATATACCAGCACCATGGATCCTATGGGTAATTAACAAGAATGAAATATGGCTATATATAGATCAAATCATGGGAAAATGGATGGAACATGGATGAAAAATAGATGGAACATGAATATGAAAGTCAGTCAATTATAAGGTAGCCGCTCTTTTTGCCTCAAATCTTTTCGGAAAAATGAAGGAAAATTGAAAAGGGGAAATCATTTACTCTTTTTGCCGCAGAAAAACTGAATAAAGCGAAACGAATTGGACAAAAATTGCTGGGGAAAATAATTATTGGTGTTGGAAACAGCTGGATAAATATTGATGAAGATTTGCTGTGGAATCTGTGGGTGTATTTTGGTGACCCTGAAATCGAGAATAGATATCAACCCTTTGCATGATTTAATTAAGGATTCTAAGAATTGGAAATTCGGGGTTGGAGATGAATGGGGGTTTCTTAAACCTGTAGCATTCTGGTGAGGATGTTTTATCGTTGCTACTCTGAAGTTGACAAAACATCATGCAAGCATGAAGCTCTGGCCTCGACAGGTTCACATTGAAAGTGCGGCCGTTCGGACGAAATAAACAGTCACATGTGCAAAACATATGAGTCAAGCAAACAAAACATCAATTGAAAAAAACTAATAACCCAATAGTAAACAACTCCCAATCCCAGCAGAAATGGCATAAAGATCATAAAGCATCCCGCTTGTTGATGCTTGTTGTGGGTTATTCTTGTGACCAACTGACTGGATCCGTCTGGTTGCAGAGGTCGATGAGGTAAACCTCTGCTTTTCTCTTCCACATCACAATCTGGTCTCCATCTCCTTCACCGATGCTGTTGAGGAAACTATCCTTCTGGGTCCCTGTCATGGTACCAACCAACACCTGCGTGAAGCAACAGGCGCCAGGACACAGCTATAGCAGCTATAGAATTATATACCATCTGCAAATCAGGATCGGGGCGCCAAGTTTGCCTCGCCATCATGGAGAGGTAGTTTCCCCGGATGGACAACTACTTACTAGTAACGCCAACGCGGCGTTGCGGATGTCATGAAGAGTGGCTTCTGGCAACGAAATGCGCACCTAATTCTCCGACTGAGAAAACTCTAATGTCAGTCAGTCGATCGAGAAGTTTGTCGGTTTGTCTGGAAAAAGGGCACCCCCAAAATACAATGCAGTATCATGCAGTATCATATTTTGATATATTTTGTCCTTTTCGTATTCAAATGGCGACTGTATGGGCACCCCCTATTTTCAGACACCAACAAATAACAGTTCCAACAATGCTGGAAAAAATCGGCCGAGGCACAACTTGCTGCAAGCCCTCCTCCACTGCGCAGTCAAATTGATTCCGCTGGCCTTCCCAATCAACTTTTTCTGGCTTGCCATCGCCCTTCCATGAGAATCGCAACTTGCCCTTCCTCAGCAAAATGATGACGAAACCAAAAATCAGGACCAGGTGGCAAGAGTTCGGGTGTAAACATAACTCAATGTACAATGTACCCTCTGGTAAACTAACATAACTATGGGAAATCACCATTTTTGATGGGAAAATCCACTATATATAAATCACCATTTTCAATAGCTATGTTAAATTACCAGAGGGTATACAAGTGCGATATAGTTTGAGGGTGGCAGTAGAAATCCCCAACTACCATTTGACAATATTTGACAACCCAATTTGATGGACACTGCCGGAACTGTAGCTAAAGATTGCACACCGCAAACATTTGAACTAAACTAGACTACACTTCAAATTTCATGCAACACATCAACAATTCAACATCTGTCTGCTTCAAATTGCGTCAACATCAAGCGGAGAGATATCGAGTCCAGTCCGGTCAGGTGATTCGATTCTTGGTCCGAGCTTCTTTCCAATCAACTTCTTCAGCAAGAAGGGCAACCTCAAGGGCAGCTTAATGGTAGTGAATAGAAACATCCGCTACAACTAAATCACATGATAATATCCACAAAAAGTTATTACTGCGACATGCTCGGTTTGTTTTTGCATGTCTCTCCCTCTCTCTCTCTCTCTCTCTCTCTCTCTCTCTCTCTCTCTCCCTCCTCTCTCAATCACCATTAGAAGGGCCCAGCGGAGCTGAAGGCGAGCAGGTTTTCATATTATTGCGCCTTTATATGTTTTTTCTGGTTGGTGGTTTCAACCCCTCTGAAAAATATTAGTCAGTTGGGATTATTATTCCCAATATATGGGAAACCATGTTCCAAACCACCAACCAGTTTTGTATCTCATACATATTTTTCTGGACCCAGGTTCTCAAAATCATCAAACAAACAAAACTGACCTGACTACACGCAAAAAAATGTTGGTTGGTTCTATCCCCACTATACCATGCCCATCATTGATCCATCATGGACAACAAAATCAGGGAAATATTGTTTAACTATAATCTCATCCACTTGTAACTGGCTCCTTTCCATTTGGGAACTGGCCTTTTGAGCTTGTAAGGTCGTTGATTGGTTTGGTGCATGTCCCGCTCACAGCCGATCACAGCATTTTTTCCCCTCAAGATGTTGCAACTGCGCAGTTGCTTCGATACCCTGCCGGAATCTCAGCTTGTGAGTGAAGCAAACCAGACAAACATTTCCCCAAACAAATTAAAGGAGTTGCATTTATCATGATGTTGAAGTAAAGTAAATGCGTTAAGTTTTCCAAGCTATTCTTCTCCAGCGCACATCCTGTAGATGTGGATTTGGATTAGATCTCACCATAGGAGACCAAAAACTTTCTCACCAGCGGATGGTCTCGTGGGCCTTCTTGCATGACCCACCTGATGTAGGCGACAAGTTAGGCACACTACTCTGTAAGTTGGAACATTGCACCTCTCTATATGTTGGAGCATTGCACTGCGCTAAGACTGTGTGAACTTATTAAAGAGACAAGCTACTGACGACGCGCTGCAGCACCAGCAGCTGCACATTCAGGCGATGATAAGCCCGCATCCTTTGCCACACGCCACGCAGCACAGTATACCTTAGAATGCAGATAGATAAACAAGTCACCCTGATATGTGTACAGAGTGCACGCAAAAAGCACAACGTTCTCCAGCTGTTTGCAAAACAGTTGCGCAATGCAGCTTGCGCTTCACCCAATCTCCAGCGCACCTAAACTTAGGGGCTGCCTTGGCTTTTGCACATGTCTTGCGCACAGTCGCTTTCGGTGTTGCTTTCGGTGTTGCTTTCGGTGTTGCTTTCGGTGATGCGTTGGCTTTCGCGCACGCCTTGCTCTTTGCCTTGGCTTTGCTACTGCCACACTTTGCACGTGTCTTTGCCGGTGTTTTGGCACGACTCTTGGGTGCGGTTTTGGCTTTTGCGCTGCTTTTTGCTTTGGCTTTTGCTTTGGCGGAAGCCGGTTTGCGCATGCGCTTTGGCTGTTGCCGCACTTGCTGGGACTGATTGGGATCTTCGGCATTGGGGCTCGGTGACTCCACAGGCTCAGGAAGAGGTGACTCCACAGGCTCAGGAAGAAACTCCTCAACCTCATCCAACATAGGAGAAGGAGTCTCACACGTCAGATCCATAGCAGCAGCACCATCATCCTGCGGAATCTAGAGAACAACTGTAGTTTATCATAGTTGACTTCAGCAATAGGCTGCCAGGTGTTGCATCAGCTTAAAAAATGGAACCTGGGTCCTTGGGCGAAGTAGGCTCACCAACACCCGGAAAACCATCATCTTCACCATCCTGGGAAGAGATGTTGTGGCAAGGTTAAAAACTTGGCAACTTGAACACATTTCTCTGGCTGAGGTGTTGCAATGGCTCCTGCTGGAAAAGAGCTTTGGGCTCAACGAGGCCCAGATCTTCGTTTGCGTCAAGTCGGCGAAGTCGTGGGATCTCCTCCGTATCCTTGGCGCGGTAAGATATTTATCCAAATATCTTAACACAATATTCTTTATTTGATACCATATTATGTGTATGAAACAGGCCTTGAAATATCTTCCATCTTACATTCCCCTGAATGGTACAAGTCCCTTTTCCCAAACATGGATGGGGGTTCTTTTAAAAGTTTTGAACTGATCACCAAATACATTTCTGGGCTGGGTATTGCCAAAATGAACCCAAATTATTGGCACCTTGGATTTTTTTGAAGGGCAATATCAATGTGGGTTAAATCAATGCCACATGGAATTTGGAAGGTTCTAAGATGGGTATCAATTACTTTCCCAAAATCTATTTGTTGTTATGGGGAAACCAATGATGTTGTTATGGGGAAACCAATGATGCTGAGGTGGCCGCATGATGATATAATAAGAATCACCTAGTAGATCAATCATATAAGTGGCCACTGCCCCATAAAAGTGTTGGTTCAAGGGACAAGTTCAGTGGCCTTGGGCGATGTCGAATTTTCCAAACCGAGCTGGTTGTTCGGATAATGGTAAAAATATTCACGGGCAGATACTTCAGGCGAAGGCATCACCAAAACATCCGAATCACCATCTTCCCCCCCCACGAGCTTGACAGGATATTCTGGGCCACCCTCCAGATCCTCATCTGGGAAGACATAATCCTGCGTGGGATATTCATCAGCGATGTACTGGTCACTCTTGGTATAGTCTGGCCTGAGATTTTGCTAAATGAAGATGAAAGAAACCCCAATGTGCCTGAAATAGGACAACTGTTTCTCCAAACGATGTGTCCTTCAGTACCCTTAAGCCTAGTTGCAGATTCCCCAGAAAGTCCCACTGCAGCTGTGTCCAGGGAGCGGAACCATCAAATGCCAACCTCAGAGCAGGCTCAGCAGCTGGGATTTGTTTTGGGGAAACATGGAACCATAAAAAGTAGCTCCGGTATTATGTTTTTTAGTGGTATCAAGAAACTCTTCGGCATTGCAGAGGGGATCAATCTTGACTTCCTTGTCGCCACCCCCTTCAACACAGGGCTGATCAATCATGACTTCCGTGTCGCCACCCCCTTCAACTTCAAGCTCAAAAGGTACAATGTCCTGCGAGGGGTAACAGCCAGTGGCCCGCAATACCCATAAAATCAATCATCTATATGTAACATTATGTAACACTTTTACATTTTTTACATTATGTAACCCTTGACATCCAAAAATGGTCCTTCTTCTTGCTTCGCTTGGACGTAGATGGGCGCTTCTTGGAACCACCAGTGCTGGACTTCGAAGCAGGTTTTTTTTTGGGGCCCCCATCCTCACCCAACTGTAACAGATTGTCCAACCCAACTAAGTCATCACTTCCCTCATCGTCATCATCATCCCTGGTGCCTGGACCCAGGGGGACATGGTCATCATCAGTACCCTTTTTTCTGGTGGTTTTACGTTTCTTCTCATTCTTCTTCGGTTTTTCATCAGTTTCACTTGGTTTTGGTGACGATTCCTCGGCCGACGATCCATATCGCGGTGGCAAAGTAGTCGCCACTGATGCGGCAGGCTGACCTGAAGTAAATATGGGTCTATGATGGTCTATGTGGGGGTTTGTATATTTTTTTGAAACCCTTTTCATGCCATTTGTGATTCCGGCTATATATAGAGTTTCATCCAAGATTCATATTAATCGGGAAATGTGGGAAGTAGTACTTGCGAAGTACTTATTAGGCATAATTAATATTTTAATGATATCATATCATATTTGGAACCCTCACTCACACCACACACTTAATGCAGCCAAGTGGCGGGATGACGCAGCAGATGCAGCACTTGCCCTGGTGTGATCCACTGCTGCAGGTCTCGAAGATTGGGACGCTGACTGGGACACTGACGGTGCAGAGGACTGGCGGGGTCGCAGCATGTCGCCAAGTTGGAATGCCTAGGATCAAGCTTTGAAAGGAAACCTCATGATCAGACTATTTAAGGAAAATGGGAATCAGACCACATTTTTCTGCAACCAAAGTACGGGGGGACGAAAAGTCAGGTCTTGAACGCATTCCACACTGTCTTCATCCGACATGGTAGCAGCTTTCCTTGAAACCCTGTTTGGTTTGGGCGCCATGAAATCCCTGTGATTTTTTCACTTGAGCCTTAAGAACCTGATAAACACAGTTTGAATCAATATCTTCCATCTGACCATCATGACATGATGGAAGGACCTTTGAACATTTGAAACTTGGGTCTTTTAAGCCACACCCGTCATCCAAGATCTCCCAAGGTTTGTTCCCTGGTATTGTGCATTTCAGCACGAGTCACGAAAGAGAGTCATGTCACCTCCACAGCCAGCACGATGAAAGATGTAAACATGTTGGGTAATTGAAATTATTGGATATAGTGTTGGAAAATATGGAAATTGTTGTTGTATGAAAATGAGTTTCAACACAGCCCTTGTGTGGAGTTCTGACTGCACATCAGCCAACTGGAAAGGCATGAGTGGGTTCCATATGGTTTTAGAACCATCACACCGCACCCCAAGAAGTGATTTTTCAAAATCAATTGCACCCTGCTGAGCAGTTGCACGATCACATCAATCTGATAATTGCTTCGCCAACATCAACAACACCACTGGTGCATGCAATCGGGCGGATTGGCACCAAAGTTTTGGTGCCGCCATCACCTGTGGATTCCAACCTGCGGGCACATACTTGGGGGTTACAATTCAGACTTTATTATTCATGGCCATACTACAAACAAATAAATTGGATCAAACATTTTTTCTCAATAAATGAGAGTGGAACTGCACCCTCAAGGTACACATGGGTATTGAGTTTGATGGGGAAAAAACCAATGGTATTGAGAACGAAATGGGCATTAAATTAGTGGATGAAACAACTGGGGCTGGGAAAGTCTGGATTACTGACAGTACATAACCCATGCTGATGACAACCAGTGTACAAGTTAAACACATTTATGAAACACGGCAGTGATGATGATCATGATGATGGCAATGACCATGATGATGGTGATGACGATTTTTACAGTTTTGATTATGAGAACAGCTATGATCATGATGGAGATTATGTGGATGATGATGGTGGTGGTAATGATGAACATGATGACAATGATGAAGATGGCCATGATGATGGTGATGATGATGATTATTATAATGATCATCATCATCATGATGCTGGGCATGAAATTGGTCATGAAGATGAAGATGATGGTGGTGATGATGATGATGATGATGATTCATGAAGAGGAGGAAGGGGAGAAGAAGTAGGGTGATTTTCTCAGACATGATGAGAATGAAAACGATGACAACGATGGGCATGATACTGATATTGCTGATGATGATGACGATGATGAACATGGTGATTGCAATATGTAAATTGTGATGCTGCTGCTCTAGGATTGATTGATAAGGTTTTGTTCATTGTTGTTTGTTGTTGTTGCTTGTTGGCATGTTGCTTTGTGTTGTTTCTTTGTTGTTTGTTGTTTATTTGTTTGTTGTTGTTTGCTGTTGCGTGGTGCTGTTTACCATCGATTGTGTATTTGGTTGTTCATGTTGTTGTTGTTGCTCATGTTGCTCTTGTTGCTTTTTGTTGCTGTTGTTGTGTGGTATTCTTCTTGCTTGTTCTTGCTTGTTCTTGGTTGTTCTTGCAGTTGTTGCTGCTGTTGCCCCTGCTGCTGCTGCTGCTGCTGCTGCTGCTGCTGCTGCTGCTACTGTTGCTACTGCTGCTGCTGAAAGGTTTGGCTTTCAATGTTGTTGTTGCTGCTGGTGACAGCTTTGCTGGCGCTGTTGTGCATTAAGGATGCTTCTGTCTGTAAGTATTATTATACTTTTCTATGGAACTATGCTGAGGTGTTTTGACAAACCATCCAGCCTGCAGCGGAACCCAACAACGAACGTGCTGATGCCCTTAAACTTGTTGATGGACAGCCCATTCCCAAAACTGTTCATGGTGACTGTGGATTTGTTCTTCTTCTTCTTCTTTTTCTTTTCGCCATCCTCACCATCATCATTTTTGGGGGGTTCCACAACAAACACCAGTGCTTTCTCCATTGTGATTTGATCACGGGCTGCATTCAGCGAGTGGTGGCTGATGCCAAGCTTCACCTTGCAGGGAACCCCAAAACCCATGAACTATCATATAAAAACTATGGGCCCCTTACCTCCCCAGATTATTTATGGATAAACATTTCTAATCTAGCGGGATTTGGTCCGATAGGTGTACTGCCTGATTCTTTGTTGATAAGGCATATAAGTAATAAAGAAATATCATATCATATGGGCCCCAACCTCTCCAGCATCTTCCAACTCCCTGATCACCGTTCCCAAGTCCGTGGGGTTGTCGATGCATGGCAAACTTTGCAAGTGGTTGGGCACCCCCTTCTTTTCCATCAGAACAAGACTTTTAAAGTCGATGTTGAAGGCAAACCACCGCCCTTCTGCATCACTTGAAATTTCCAAAGCTTCCTTGGTTAGGAGTCCCGAACATTAAGATCTTCAAGGGAAAGCTGGTCAACTAGACTGGCAAGGCCGGATTGATCCAAGTGTCGGCACCATTCCTCACTCACCGCTTCCGAAGCTAAACCTCAGTATCAAGTTCGTTTCCAGTGGTGGTGAAATATAAAATAAATATGGGAAAAATCATTCGATGGCCAAGTGTGTTTGGCATCAAGCTGTTCCACATCATTGTAAACAACATATTTTGAGTTGAGCCTACAATCAATGATTAAAGGATTGCATCAGATATGGATGGACGTAATCCTTCCTCCCTGGAAGATGACATCAAGGAGTCCCCAATTACGGTCAAGAAACATCTCACGGAATGCCAGAAACTGATTGCGAGACCGGCTCACCAAAAAGAGCTTCTCTCCCGTTTCATCTGAGATCAATTCTGCAGCCCCGTTGATGGTCAACTTCCGCCTCAGGAACAGAAAGAGATTATGAAAGATGTGAAAGACCAGGCAGGGAAGTAAAAGAGGGAGGGAACTGAAATGTTATGAAAGGAGATATTGGGAACCTAGTTCGATGATGCAAGTCCCAACTTTTTTTGGATTCATAATAAGTAGCCAAGATACGGTTTTGCTAAACTGGAGATGTCTGCCTCAGTGCAGCTCTGCAAATCAGCCAGTTTGATCTTCTTTGCGGGCCGCTCTCCGTCAGCCGGCTCTGCAGGCCTATGGGAAGGAAAAAGCGATGTCCGATGATTTGAAGGAGAGAGCTGGGTGAGCAGGATGGATGGGCTTTATCAAAAAAGGGGGTATCAAATCCAGAATTTCAATAGGTCAGCGTGTAAAATCCCCAAAAGAACCCAAAAACACTTTGGGATATTTCTGTCCTTTCATCATCTTCGAGATAATCTCCATCCACGTTGAAGTTCTTGTTGTGCTCCACAATCAGTGCAGTGGCCTCTTCCTTGGACCCCTCATACTCTGTCCAGCGTCTAGCCAGTGACTGCAAAATCACCAGCCGGTCACACTTGGCCACACAAACCTTGTATGACTGTTGTGGGGCAGAGCTCGCATTCTCACGGAGTGCCTTGACCACAGGCTCAAAGTTGGGGAAATTCGGAAGCACGGCATTCCCTTCCCGACACGACTCATAGAGCGCAGTGGCAACTCGCTGCTGCAATCCACCAGGATCGCCGTTCAAGACGATGGATCCGCACATGACCCGTTTGGCAGCCGCCACTTCCTCAGACAGGGTTCACTTGTTTGAGGTTGGGATGTGGCAAATTAGTATAACAATCTCTGCAAATTATTCTATTAAATAATTTGGGGCTCTATGATCGTAGCCATTTCATACACTATATAATAATATATTATTAACTTATTTAACCACCAAATACCCTCGACACCATAGGCTCCCTTTGCACTATGTAACTCCGTAACTTAGAGAACATTGTGTAATTGGTATACATTACAATCAAAATCAATCTATGGGTTTTTGTTTTCTGACCTGAATGATTTGTAACCATCCAGCCCATAAGTCCTCGAGGGCTGCCAGTGCTGCCCACCCATCGTAGCTCACAAGATCCAAGATCATGCAGGTTTGGACCGAAGGGGGTACAAGTGCCCTCAGGGTTGCCCGCACGAAGTCTGTTCCACCAGCAACCTTGTTTTGTCAAGATTAAGTTTTGACATTTTTGATTCTTTTTGACAACCCATGTTTTGGGAAAAATTGGTGTACAAAAAAATGCCAATAGGGATCAGGAGCTTGTTTCATCTCCTTCTGGTCAGTAATTGCCCTCCCAAGATGTGGCAGGTTCTGCTTGGTCGGTGAAGCCTGAAGGCACAGGTCACAGGTGTAATCCATTCAACATTCAAGAACCCAAAAAAGGGGCTGGTAAACCACAAACATGTTTGGAAGACCACCACTGGGGGCATTGAGATTCTTAAGCCAAAGAGCTGTTGGTTTCCACATGGCATGCCGGGGGAGCATCTTGACATCATGGATCACAGCGGACTTGATCCCTGCCGAGGTCCGAAAGATGTTTGCTCGGTCACGGTGAAAAACTGCAAGGCCCGTGATGCAACCTTCACGGCGTCCGTACACCGTCTCCTGAGGGACAGGGTCTGCAGGAAGGACGGAAAACAATCAGACCCAACAATTGTTCCTTAAGATTCTTTTGGTGGAAAAAGCAAATGGTATAGATTCAATCTAGCCTGGACACTTTGTCAAACACCCATGTGATGTTGCGCACAATCAGATTGCGCTCTCGCAGCGACAAATCTTTCCTTTGCAATCTTGTCTTTTGGGGAAAATCATAGCATGTCCCCATTGAATGTTTGAGAAAGGTAACCACAAGATAATTGGGATCCTTTTTAATAGGGAACAGGGAAATCAAAACTATGAAATATGGAGCAAAGCTTCTCCAGCTTGTACTTCATGTCTCTGATGTCCGCATCCTCCTGATTGCATGACAGCTCTGGAGGTGCATCACCGTCTTCATCGTCATCTGGCTCATCCTTTTTGATGCCCATCATCGCATCATCAGGCTCTTCTTTGGCGGCATCGTCATCGCTTTCGTCCTTGCATTTGCTTTTCCTGCAAGGGCTGTAAGAACCCCAGGGATACCTTAAAGATATCTTTATGGAGGATCACCGTAAAACAGCAGCCATAGATTCTTGGCACAGTGTTTTTTTGAGGGTATATTGTCAAGCTTCAAAACATTTCAAAACATGTGTCCTTTCAGCAGCTTGTCCACGGTTGGGGTGAACAAGCACTGCGATCCCATTCTTCCGATAGATTGCCAGGACATTCGATATAGATGTGATGCACCAGTCATAGCGATGAACTGACAGCACACCACAGGAGGGCAAATTTGCCCACATGAGCACACAGTGATCATCACTGGCACGGCATTCGGGTACGTCGGAAAATGCTTCATCCGTCCAGCTGGTAACCAACGGAAGCACAGTTGATTCAGCCTCCTTTGCAAGACCCCCGAAAACTCGAAGGTTCACCGTTAGATACTCGCCAACCATCTCCCAAGCCTTCTTGTGGAGGTCCTTTCAGGCAATGCCATTGTTTTTGAAAAATATTTACAGTATTTAAAGGCTTATTGAACCATTTGACCCTGTTGAATGGATATGGCCCCACTTGTAAAATAACACCTGTAATATTCGTTCAAAAACAATGATTATGACATTGGGATTGAACTAGGTAGGCTTTAAACACACATCATTCTTCAAAACAACTTTTTCGGTTTCATGGGTGTCCTCCAGCTGACTCACCAATTTTGCACGTCGCTTGGCAGACTCCTTCTCGGACCTGAATTGTGCGGAGGGGATGACAGAGGTGCGGAGGGGAAGTTGCAAGGTAGGAACATAAGGAACATGAGTAACTAACTACTGTAGATCAAATTTGTCCCATTCTGAAACGAAATGAAACGAATAGATATCATTTTGGAATTATTGCCATCACCATTTTCAATTCAGAAAAGGCACATGATTCGCTGAGACTCAAATGAGACCTGGTCAGCTTGGAGCTGCTGAACCCAGTTCTGGAACGCTGCTGTCATTGATCTGGTGTAGGCGTTCTTTTGCCTATCCTGGGCCTGGACAACGAAATCCTCCATCGTGGAGCCGCGCACCTGCAAACAAAAGGGGTGAGATCGGTGTGGGCAATATTCTGCTATGCTTCTATCTCATCCCACTGAAACAGCTAAGTACCACAAAAATGTTCTGTTTGTTCAAACCATTGCGATGGATTGTCATTACATATATTCCTTGTGGGCTGCTATGTTTTTTAGATATATAGTGTTTCTCCTCCATATAATATAATAAATTATGGATGGAACCAATCCTGCATCAAGCGATAAATGGATAAACTGTTTATACCATTATTTGGAAGGGGCTTATAGTTATCCCAAAGTTATCCCACTATTTACAAATCCCAGGTGTTTTATAGCTCCCAGCTGGTGCAAGATTTGTTCCATCCACAGTAGCACAAACCGTGGTTAATTTTTGCGCTGATCTTTGCTTCACGGTTTGCCCCTACCTGCCTCCAAGATGAAGGGTATCCTGCCCCATTCGAAAGGCTCCGCAGCTTTGACGATTCCACCCAGATCGCTGTCGAGGCTCCTTGATCAGAACCCAGATAGGGATTCCCAAGCCCATCCCTTGAAAATAATCGGGAAATATGACAAAATCAATCACATCTCGGGTTCCGGTTTTCAGCTCTGAATTGTGATTGGATTTCTGGAAATACAATCACAATAACCTATCTAAATTGAAAATCAATCACTAGGAAAAATTGGATTTCAAAATGGGAGCATGATCATAAGTTTGGTGACCTATTAAAATGCGATTGTATTTCTGGGAATCCAATCACAAATGCTAGCTAATTTTATGGGGTAGAATTTGATTGATTTTTTGGGTTTGGCGCCGGCCAACTCCGGATAAGAAAATGCGACGTTATTTGTGGGAATACAATCACAATCAGTGGAAAAGCGTCGGCTGGCGCCAGCCAACTCCAATCCAAGATGTGTGATTGATTTTATCCTGAAATATTATGATTTGATGACCCATAATTATATATAGTAATTTTGTCTCTCTTGATTCCATTTTTCTGCTAGTTCAATCATTAGCCAAGATTCCCTTTCATGAACAAGGAATCATGCTGAGTCACAATGTCCCCGGAGAAAGACTTGACCATGTGTTCTCGAAGCCAAATCCACAAGCAGCAAATGTCATAAAGATGTGTGGCTTGGTCATCATCCAGCTGCGCTGCTTTCTTCAGGGACACGGGAGGTGGCACAAGAAAGTGAAATTCTTTGAGAACATATCAGAAATCGATTTTGTCAGCATAGAGTACATTTTGAAAAGAAAGTAGCTAAGTAACAAAAACAAACATAACCCCAGGCAGACCTTGGCTTTGTTGGTGGAGTCTTTCTGAACCTTTCGCTCGAAATCCTCCAGGGTTTGAACGGTGTTTTGTTCAAGGTATGGTGCAAGAAGAAATTTAAAATTTATATAAACTCGAAATTTGTCGTATCGGTTCCTTCGTCATGCGCTGGGCCCACATCATACAAGTTTCCCCAGTAGGGTGAAGAATCTCCCGCCACATTTCTTTGCCATGAAACTTGGGTGAATCTTGCCGCGCGGTGACACCGGGAACCCAGTAGTCTTGTTGGAGTAGATCCAGGGGCATACCTGCAACAGCCGCGATACATACGCAAAACATTGACAGGGGTTATGGAACACAGGGAATATGGAAACACAGGGAAAATACTAATGTGTAATGAGCCATAATCAGTCTACAGTGTTGAAACTGTCAAAAGACAAATCAAAATAGTGATGGGCCTGACACTTCATGCTTGAACAAGTCATAGTGCTCATGAAGGATAGCACCCAGCGTTGGAGGAGCCCTCATCCTGATATTGTTTCTCAAGCATGAAATCTGAGAATCTTTGATTAATAGGCTGAACTCATTCCCCCACGTAGCTACAAATTTGTTGTTACTACTTCTAGATTGGGGCAAGGATCAAATTGTAGATCAAAGACTTGCGGGTGGTGTCAATCCGGTGTTTCTTCACAGTGGTAAGCTTGTTGAATTCTGTGACGCACTTGTTGATCAAATCCTTGAGGGCCTTGGAAGCACCTGGTTTGAGCTGAGCCTGCCGGCGCTCCACTGCCACAGCTTGTGAAATTGCCCCCAGGAGGTCCAAGGCTGAAGGGCTCTGCTTCTCACTGGTCACAAAACCCACACCTCAGATGTGCAAACTTTAGGACTATCAGGGACTATACAAAAGTGCAAGGAAATGCCCCCTTGAAAAAAACACAGGAACACCCACAGGAAGAAACCAATGCGCAATAGAGGCACGCAAGCTATGCAGGAAATGGGTTGCTGGGTTTGGGAAGTATGTGAAACTGCAGCGAATCCATCGAAATGATTCCAGCATCTTGCAAACCTCCGGGTTGTCCAAGCGATCATCCGACCATTCCTGATGAAGGTTAGTTAGGTTGTTTCTGGGAAGGTATATATACTGCCGCCGCTATAGAAAAACAAAAATATTGCTTAACAAACAACAACATAATATCACAACCTGGTAAAGACCCTTTCGTCAACACACCAATTAAACAGTGAAAGTGAAATGTTCCTTTTGGCCATGAATCAAGCTCATGGATGAAACAACAAATGGCTGTCATCAAAAGAACTTTCGTGAATCCGTCGTTGAAGCATACTGAGAAGTCTTTGATCTGCCTGCTGGAATCACTAAAGGGGAAGCGTGTCTCCACCGACTCAGCGCTTGGTCGGTATCCTCTGCAAAATTCTCCAAAATGGAGGCGGCACTGCTCATTTTGCGGCCAGTCTGCAGGGACACAGTAAAAGGTGTGGAACTAGAAAAGGGGTGGAACTAGGTAACAGGGCACAAGAATGAGAAAGGGTACTAAAACACTTGTCATTAAACAACATCCAAACACTTGAGTCCCAGGCATCCATTCTTGGCGCTCTCCCCCAAATGAAAGGCGGTCAGCGGTAGCCAGAATTCTGACAAGGAAGCTTGTGGCACCAAAGACAAGGTGGGCTTTGGATCCAGGTGCGCCCCACGATCCAAAACCAAGCGCTTCAACACCTGCATGCCAAGTAAACCAGACCACATTAGAATAGCAGGTATTCACTGATACTCAATACCCCTTTTTCTTGACAACCCCCCAAAATCATCAAAACAACTTGTCAGTAAGCACCTGGAAACGCAAAGATTCGTCTCCAAGAACGTCGTCTACATGTTTCCCCAAGTTCTTCTTCACTGTCACCTTGCAAACCAAAAAATCCAAACTACAACATATATGTTCTTTGATGTTTTGATATGATGGTAGTGCTCCATAGAAAAACCAAGGATGAGACCGTATCGAAATAGGCTCGGAGTTCCTCTATGGGGTCACCATCTTCCGTTTTCACATCAGCCATGATCCCGGCCAGATCACAACTGCACAGCAAGGCGCTAGGCCGTCCTAGAGCCAATTTTTCAAATCAGCAAAACACATGAACCTGGGAAGCTTGGACATGGGATTGCACACAATGTTCAGCGTGTGTGGGTCGAACTAGCTATTTGCAACTTTCCCTTTTGCACTCCCCTTGTGCCCACGCCAAACGTGTTTCAAGTCCCAATTGCATAGTATGCAAATAAACTATCCCCGGCTATGATGAAAGACCACCTGAAGCCAATGGTTCATTGGCTCAGCAGGTCGCTGAGGTAATTGAACATTCCCCAGGCCATTCCTTTGAAATGGCCCAGCATCCAAAAAGGAAAGTCTGGAAAAAGGTTTTCGAGGTCTTGCCATGTCAATCACAGTACGATAGTATCGAACAGCCCGGTCCATGTGTGGGAAGTCTTTGGATATGGCTGCAGCCAAAGATTCAAGCTCAGCAATGCGCTCAGCTTCAAGTTCCTGATGCACCACCTCCCTGGTGCTGTTGATCTGGTTGAAGTAGTTTTCTGTACTGGCTGCAAAGCTTGCGGGGTAACAAAGTAAAGGAGGCTGAATCAGAGACTGATCAGACATATACCCTTTTACCATTGCAAAAACATCTTTCATTGCCCCTTCCGACCGCAAGCGTCGGGGCACATTGTCATCCACTTCCAGGTTGTGCCCTTGACCAGGCATGTCTGACAGGGTGTAACAACAAAGTCAGGGATCAGAGTAAGGAGTAGAACGCATTAAAGTATAATACTGTATGGTTTTTGTTTTCTTTCTAAAGTGGGAACATCATGGTACATATTTCTTTTTGGAACCCCAAGCCTTCCCTGCACATGAAAGAAAATGACTGTGGAACTTTCATGTTGTTCTCCTCATCCGTCTTTCGGGAACGATATGCGTTCTTCAATGTAGATGAGGATGGCATAAGTTTGCACCAATTTCTCACCTTAAACGATTCCGATGCAAATGGTTGGAATGTTATTAGCTGGGGTTGCCACCCTGGGGATACCTTGAAATAATGTCACATGGCTACTTTCTTGCACTCACTGCACCCAGGTTTTTGGAGACGAGTTGCAGCATCAACGTGCTCGATCTGGAAATCCAGGCCGCTCTTGCTGAACAAGGGTGCCAGCTTCTTCTGCAAGCACCTTGGATGAGAAGGCAGCGGGCTGAGAAAACCAGACCAGAAACTTAATGTCATTTAAAGACAGGAAAATCCGATAACGTCATTTAAAGACAGGAAAATTGTCACTTCGGATTAATCTATGAAGCTCATAGGCCCATCTAAGAATACATGGTTCATCAACGAATTTTGCCCTTTCAGACATCAATGGAAATACTTGAGATAAGTTTACTCCACATATTTGTTCAACATACCGGATACTAAATAATCATCAAGATGCTTGATAACCCACATTACAAACACAACAAGGTAAAAAAAACCACATAGTTTCGTAGTCTCACATGAACTGTTTCAATTATATAGGAGTTGTTTTAGTCTGGATATATATATATATGGCATTGGCAAACTAATTACATTACATAGGTCGAAAAAATATTTCGTTTGTAAACAGCACAGCTTACTTGGATAGCAGGAAACCGCATTATATCTGAAGGAGTCTGCAAGTCTGGCTCTGCTTTCACCGCTGCCGTCACCAATGAGAATATTCCATCTGGACAGGGGAACAGGTAAGATAGAACATGAAGTTATGAACACAAACCATTTGTAAACACTTGGAAGAATCATTTCAATTTGACCCAAACAGCGCCTATGTCTTCGTGGGTGTGTCCCACCACCATATGGTGGTGGGACACACCCTTGAAAAATCTGCCTTGAACCATCATGCAGGCCCACTTCCCGGTAAACGAGTTTCGAAGTTCTTTCGGGGTGTTGTCCCCCTGGACCCATAACCTCAAATTGGCATACGTTTGAACAAATGTTTTTTTTGGGTTCTCACCAGATTGGCAAACTATTGGCATATTAAACAGCCGCCACACTATGCTGAGACTGAAACTCTGCTGGGAGCTCCCGGTTGAGAGACCTCATCTTTGCCCAGGCTTTGTCGATGGATTTCATCACCTTTGCCAAGTGGGATATGAGGAGGCATATGTTTTAAATATGGGGTGAAGTTGATGCAATTCCAGGTTTAGTACAGTTGAGCTACACATTCTATCGTCCAATTCGATCCTCCAGCCATTCCTTCATCGGAAAGATACATATAGATGCCGGTCCCGTGAACTATGCATCCAGTAAGCGTCAAGTATGTACCTTAGTCAAAACAGATATGGCAAGAGGTTTTGGGAATCTTCAAATTCAAACACATCACTAATTCAATCAGATTGCGTCGTGTAGCTTCGAAAATTGTACGCTTTGGCGTTCGGGACATGGGGTATTTTGGCAAACTCATTTTGCAATGGTCATAGGAATCCACTATGATCGTCATGATGTCACGCTGCACTTTGGCACGTTCGCGTGCCATGTAGTATACCTGCCGGTCCTTCCAGGTCTGGGTGAAGTGGGCCAGAAGTTGATCCGAAATCTTGGCCTCCTGGTTGAAGTCCTGGGCAACGGCAAGGGGTAATGGAATTGTTGGTCTAAGACAGGTTGGGGACAAAACTTAAGGTATCCTTTATCATCAACTTCTTTGTATAAAGATTAAAAAAATGAGTAGCTAGACACAATCAAGATTCATATGCGTTTTGAAGGGCAGATCGCAACTGGGCACAAGTAGCACACTGTGCATGCTGGGTCTTCTTATGGAACCTAAGACATACTTTCCATTCAACAGCTACTTGGAAGAACGTTGATCGACATGCAGGGGCTTCATTCTTGACCCGGCAGTAACTCTTGTAGACCAAGAAGAGTTCACTCCAAGATCCATGAGACAACTCCCGCAATGGAAGTCGTTGCGGGTCATGGTTGAAGGACAGCTGCAGGAAAGGACTCATCAGGTGTGTGTCCACCAGCCGCTCAAGCAACTGCTGTCTCAACTCATCATCAGCTTGCTTCAAACAGGTCTTCGAAGCCACCCTGAAGTTTCAAAACAATGATGATTTTCATTTTTTCTCTCTGGGTCAAATGGAAATTAATCAATAGGGCTGAGGACTATTTGCAGAAAAGCTACTCCTTGGTCATTGGTTCCCCTGCAGACCAGTACATATGCAAGAAGAAAGCTCGAACCGAGGCTGCTTTTTCGGCAGGCTTGCCGGCAAGACCTGAGAGACAGCTGGCGTACTGATTTGCTAGCTGGTATGCTCACAGATAGATATCAA